GTCCGATGGGCACAGCGGGGACGTGACGCCCCTGACCGCTGTCCTATGGGCTCTGTCCGTGCAGGAGATTACACCGACTTCTACTCCTCCCGCCAGCACGCCACAAACCTTGGGATCATGTTCAGGGGCAAGGAGAACGCTTTGATGGACAACTGGTGGGTAGCTCAGGTTTTTCTCTGGTGGGGCATTATTTTGCATGCTTCTCTGTACGTGTGTGTATGTGTGTTTAATATCTGAGTAGAGTTTCGCCAAAATACTGATTTCAGTTCGTAGCAGGTGAGGAGCTGCGCTGCCGAGAGTTCAGCAGCAGAACTGAAAACGACTTTTCCCCAGCCTTAAAGTCTGCCCTGCATGTCATTGGAGCAGCCACTCTGGTTGCAGTGCAGACCTGTGCCTCGGGCACAGATTACCTACGAAATTGGTCTTTGCTGAGTGACAAGAACACAGGATTTAAGCTCCAAGGAACTAATCGGAGCAGTGACATACAAGTGCACTAACACAGTCACATTATAGTTAGTTCACATCTCTATCTCAGAGCAAGTAAAGTGCAAATGTCCATGCCCATTTACACAGAGCTCTCTCCTCCTACCTCTCCCCGCTGTGGTGCTTCTACCCTGAAAATCTGCTCTGGATGGCGATGGCTGCACAGCTAACCTGTGCTCTGTGATGCTCTTTCACAAGGCTGCACTTACCTGTCGGTTATCACGGCCGGGCATCATCCGTTGTGGTGTCTGGGACGCCCATTCGGAGACCTGTGGGGCAAATGAAACCTCACAATGGTGAGTATGTGGTTGGCTTTTAACATGACTTCTTTATATTATTATTTTTTAACAAAATTTTCTTCTACATCATAGAATAATGGTGAGTGAGGGTCTGGGATGTCATGTGTGAAGTTCAGTCTGGGGCCAGGTCAAGAGAAATCCCTGATTTAAGTCCATCTTGTGTTTCCAAACCAGGCAGCATCAGCTGCTCTGTTTTTCTCTAGTTGCTGCTTTTATTTCCCTACCTGCCTCCCTGTCATAAAATACTCTTTCTTCTACCCACAGATAAACCTCCAGTGTTTGGTGCTTGTAAGCGTCTGGATATCGAGTTAGAAATGGTAAGATGGGATTTTTTTTCCCCTGCCACTTGAAAAATATTAAAATAGAAAGAGGTGAGAAAAGGTAGGCTTAGCTTCTTCTGAAATTAATGTCTCGGAAGGTCCATTCCTGTGTTTTCCTCTGAGTAGTCTGTGCAGAAGGCAATAAAGATTTATATGGGGGAAATTTCCCTTTCTAATGAGTGGCATTAGCTCATTAAAGTGGTTTGCTAATACATCTTTCAGGCTGGAAAGACCTCATCTGGCCAAATCTGAGCACTGGTGCAGCAGTCTGGAAGCAGGCAGGCATAATTCTTTTTATCAGACACCACAGCCTGTTACCTGGTTAGCAGTTACCTCTGCACTGCAGCCAGGGTCTTTTAACGGGCTCTGGGAATTTTGGAATTACAGGGTGGCTGTGCCTTGAGTCTAGAGCAGAGGAAGCCGTGAGTTCTTGGGAGTGCAATCCAAACTCCTCCTCCTTCTGACTGGAAAGATGAAAACAGTGTTGTAAGAAAACATCCTTGGAAGGTGCATCTTTCTGTGCCTTAGTGTGGTCCAGAAGGGAGAGTTTCATAGGGTTGTTCGTTACGATTTATACGATTTAGATAACACATATATAATTTATTCCCCATAACTCCCCTTTTTAAAAAAAAGGAGAAAAACTATAATATTAAGGGAAATGGTACTAAAAATGAACTGAAAGCCTTTAATGCCATATACTTTTCAGATGATTGCTATAAAGTGGGAGGCGGTCCCCTGAGGTGGGATACCCAAAGCGCTGCCATTCCTCTGCTTTGCGGTCACTGGCAGCTGTGAGAGCAGATTTAAACCGATGAAGGAGTTGGAATTAAAAACTTCCATATTGTCAGCAAAAAGAGACAGCGGAGATTCCCTGTGGAATTCACCGCTCCATGCTCACGCTGTACATTTTCTAAGGGAGCAAGTGCAGGCACCCAGTTCCTGACCTGTTTTACCCGGAGGGTGCATTTCTCTCACCTGCCTCCTCTTCCCCAGTGCTATGACGGGCTCCAGCTGTGTTCAGCATCCCCTCAGATGACCTCAGACTCCTTCCTCTTCACTGTCTGCAGCAAACAGAGTCACTTCAGTGGGCAAAGCTGTTCTGCATCTAGTTTGTAATTAGAAGGGAACATTTTTTGCTCCTGTGTTTTCACAACACCATGCCCTTGTTTAATGCCTGTCCCTTAGCAACACAGTGCTCTTAAGTATTTCAAGCCTGCCAGCTTCACAGAGGGGAAGAAAGATGAAGAAGGCCTTGTTTTTTGTCTAATTGTGTGCTGGAAATGATGCAAAATCTCATCCTGTCCGTCCTCTTACTGCTCATGCACATAACCCTCTGTGCGGTCAAGATTTTTAGTTTCAAAGGCTTACTTAATCATATTTTGCTTTTTAATTTCAGGCATTCTTTGTGGGTCCTGGAAACAAGTGTGGGGAGCCGATTCCTATCAGCAGAGCTCAGGAGCACATCTTTGGGATGGTTCTGATGAATGACTGGAGCGGTAACCAGTGCTGCGGGAGTCTGCCTGGAGAGGGGGTTAAAGCGTCACGGGAAACCTTAGATAGCAATAAATTATATATTTTAGTGGTAGAATAGTGGTTATTGAAACCACTGGGTATGGTTGAAAGGGATGAAGAGGAAATGCTGTCTTCATTTCTCTCAATCCAACTTTGATCAATCCATAGAACCAGAAATTGCTGCCTAGCAAAGATTTATTTACTTATGAAAGAGCCAGTATCAGTCCAGTTTCTTCTGGGTAGTCCCAAGGATGGTGATTCTGACAGAGGAGTGATTGCAGTGTCAGGAGTAGGAGGAGGATTTGGCAGTCACAAATCAGTCTTTGCATAGATTTCACGGGTTGAAATCAGCCCTCCAACTGGCACAGACCATTAGCTGGGTGTAAAAGCATTGATGGGACTGGGTATAAAAATACTGATTATATGGGGATAGCATGATTTGTTTTAATTATTGCTGACTTTTCTTCCTAATCTGGCTATTTAAGAAAAATGGTTCAAGGGTGTGAAGGGGCTAGATTTAAATTAGGATTTGGGCACAATGTCTAGAAAAGGGTGGTGATTACATTTTCAATCCGTGTTATTCTTTCGCAGGTGTGATGGCTGCACCACTCCTAGGACATGTTTAACAGCATTGCTTTGAATTTTCTCTTTCTAGCCCGTGACATCCAGAAATGGGAATATGTTCCTCTGGGTCCATTCCTAGGCAAGAACTTTGGCACAACCATCTCTCCTTGGGTTGTTACCATGGAAGCTCTCATGCCATTTGTGTTGCCAAACCCTGTCCAGGTTAGCAAGAGAAAGGGTTGAAATAAAGGGAAAGCAGCGCTAGAAAAATCTCAGCAGAACTGGGAGGTCCCATCGGTAGAAATCACTGAGCTGTATCAATAGAGTGTAGAAGCATGATCCTGCTTCCAAACATATGAAGGCACCCTGGGCCCTCTGAGTTCGACTGCTCGTCGATGTCACTGGTGTTGGCACATGGTGCCCAGAGCTGTTGTTCTGCCTGCTCAAGCAGGGCAGGAAAGTAATCTCCTTTAAAACACCTGGAAAGTGAACTGATCAGAGAGCTTCTTGTTGGCGTCTGGTAGCACTTGGCGTCCAGCAAGCAATGGAAAGAGGGTGGACTCAAGCCAGAACACTGTTCAAGCATTTCCAGTTGTCTGCATTATGTAGATGTTTGGTTAAAATTGAAAAAGATAATAAAGAGTCTTGCAGAGAACTCACCATCTTCTCTGAACAGGCACAGAGCAAAGTGTGCTATTATCACTCTCTTTGTTTTGGATTAACATCCATGGGATAATGATGGAGAGGGCCACATGCAGAAGAAGAATTTGGATTATATGAATGTCACCTCTGTTCAGAAAGATCTTTGAAAGTGTGCACATGAGAGCAAGCAAAGCCATAACGTGAGCGGTAACAACGGTGAAGTAAATGGGGTGTGCAGCACAGGCTGGTTAAACAAAAAGTCACCGGGATGGCTCGTGGAATTTTTCCTTTCTCTTTGTTTAGACTGTGATGCCTTTTATATGCTTTTAGGATCCCAAGCCACTGCCCTACCTTCAGGATAAAGAACCCTACACTTTTGACATCAAGCTCTTTGTTGATATTAAAGGTACAGCAATGCTGAGTGGGTTATAAAGCTGAAATTGCCAGCTGAGGAATGCAGAACCACCACATATTTCAGACTGTTTGCTCTTTGCTCTGCGGTCCTCGTTCTCCATCTTTGCCCAGATTGCCTCTGTTGGAGAAGGAGGCAAAGCTCTTCACGGTCCCCCTTGTCCATGCAGCAACGTGTCATGAAGGGAATGCCTCCCAGATGACCAGTTTATGCTGAGGAGGGTCCCTGTGGGCTCTGCCTGCATGGGCAAGCAGGGCATGGAAAGAACAGATGTACATGGACTTCAAATGTTAACCCAGTTCAAACCCTCAGCTCATGTCCCTGCTGACCAGTAGGTCCAGGTGTTGCTCCTCGTAGAAAAGCAGAGAGTAGGAAATGGGCAGCTTGATGCTACCCTGGTGCCATCCACACACTTATTTTCTATGAAATGCTGGCATTGGTATCAGTAGAAAATGTCACTAGTACTTTTTTCTAACTACCCATTACAAAGATAAAAGAAGTCTCTATCCATCTGTAAAATCAAAAGACTCTAACATCATTCATCTGACACAAACAAATTGCTTCTCTGTTTCTTATTTTTTATTTTCTGCAGGAGAAGGAATGAGCAAGCCAGCTACTATATGCAGATCCAATTTCAAGGTAAGACTTCGAAAATATTTTTCTTTCAAAATCTTGCTGATGCCATCAGCTCCAGCCTTAGGCAATTTCACTTGCTGATTTTTGCGTTAGCTGAAGATCAGACCTGGTATGTGTGAGTGTAGAGGTTAGAGGGGAAACAACAGAGGGTGAGGATAGTTCACCCCTGCTGAGATGGAAACATGTGAATGCTCAAGAGCTGAAGAACAGGGCAGCCCTTCCAGCTGCTCAGTTTAGGGTGCTCAGAGCATCCCAAGTTGTGTGCTCGTTAGCCAGGGAGCCCTGAGAAAGAGCAGAGGGCTTGCAGGCAAAGGGAATCACCTCTTGCTGTGCCGAGGTGCGACACACCTTCGCAGCCACAGCTGTGGAATTTAGATGCAGATTGAATGCTGCGACATGGCCTCAGGTCTGGGTCTGCCCCGGCCCCTCTGCAGGCAGCGTGCTGGCTCTGCCACCACAGGCTGGAGGGAACCAGGGGGTCTATGTACCAGCTGCAGACTTTCTCAATCAGTTTTGTGTTCACATTTGGTTCTTTGCATAGCAATTACCTTAATCAGTAAATCAGTAGTCTGCAAATCAGTAGTAAGGTGATTTTTCTATAAAGCCATGAAAATGCTGGACTTAATCATGGATTCTGGGTGAGCAGTGCTGGCCTTAAAGAGGAAAAGGGGAAATGACATCCAGATGAACAGAGAAACATTTTAAGGGACTAAATTGCATGTTAAAGTACATATTTTATATGCACGAGGCAGCTCCCGGTCATCATTTAGAAAGCAATCAGTCAGAGGCCACAATAACTACTGAGGAAGTAGTGCTAAATAACTGGTTTTAGGCTGCTGAAGGTTTCTGATTAAATAAGGAAGATTCTCTTAAGGGACAGTCCTACCAGCATCATCCCAAGAATGCAGTATGTTCTGCATAGCCTAGTGGTGTGCCAGAGAGGTTTGTCCTTCATCGCTTTAGCCTCCTCTTCCTCCAGCACATGTACTGGACCATGAAGCAGCAGCTGGTTCATCATTCGATCAACGGGTGCAACCTCAGACCTGGAGATCTCCTGGCCTCTGGCACAATCAGTGGACCCGTAAGTGTTTAAATAACAACAGTCACCGAGAACTGATCAGCAATCCAAAACCAACCGAGCAGGGCTTTGGGACTAAGCTCTCTTTGATTTGAGCAGCCATGGAAGTATCTGCAGTTTTTCCCTAGGCACTTTGGGCTGATGCTTTGGTAGCTCCAAAACTGCACAGAGAAGTGGTGGGATTTTGTTGCTATTGGTTTTCGTTTTGTTTGTTTGTTTTTTTTTTAATTTCTCCTGCACTCCTTTCCCTAAGAACTATTTTATAAAAGATGCAAATTAATTTCTGTACACAAGCACCCACATGGCCCAATATATACACTATGAAATGCAGCTTTTTTATTTCTGAGAAGAGTGTAACAGATACATGGGTATAACTTTTAATTTCTCTAATACTACATATTTGGAGCTAATTTCACAGGCTGCCTTGAACTGCCGTATGGACAGTTGCTGCAATGTATGGGTAACTTGCACTTTCTGAAACTTCAAATATACATCCTGTTCATGCTGTCTGAAGGACAGCCTCTGGGAAGTTGTTTCCAAGCTGGGATACCTGTACTTCCATTCTGAGTGTTTCCGAAATGCTTTTTGCTTCCTTCGCACCATCGTACTGCAGATTGACATTAAAGTCTTAAACATTTTCTCCAGCTTTGCTCTTCTGAAGACCAAAATGTAAACAAAAATCCCAAACGGGGCTATAGAAAAGGCCTGGATTTGTAGAAGTGCCCTCAATTGGTTTCCATTCTTGCTGTAGCAGACCCGAACTACTTTGTCAGGGTTTAGCACTGTGTTAAACACGCCAGACAGATAATGGCCACAAGCGTGACCGTTTATAGTGAGCAAGCAATTAAAATGCAAAGGCAGGAAAGCAAGGCACTGTATTAATGAATTAAACCAACAGCAAAACTCTGTTCTGTAGAGCTAATGTATTTGCATGTCTGCTTCCAGCAGCAAGCAGCTTGACAGCAGGGCGGATAGTAAAAAGCTGTTTATTTGTTTGTGAACTCCTGCTGCAGGAGCCGGGGAGCTTTGGCTCCATGCTGGAGCTGTCCTGGAACGGAACAAAAGAAATCCCTCTTGGCAGTGGACAGTCTCGTAAATTCCTGGAGGATGGAGATGAAATCATTTTGACAGGTAATGGCCAAACAGCTGCTTATGCTGCGCCAAGGACGCGTTTCCATAGATGGATCCCAGTGCCTGCAGGGAAGATGGGCTGTGCTGGACGTCCCTGCCACACAAACCCAGTCGTTTCCATCCTACCTGTCAGGAGGCAAAAGCAGGTGGATAGAAATTTCCCTGCAAGAAAAGCTTTCTGGATTAGATTATTTGCTTTACCTAAGTACTTAATGATCTTGCTATGCCTGTGCGGGAGTGCTGTGGGGACGATGGAGGTAAGTCTCCCTTTATGGGTGAAAATATACTGGGACTAGAAGCAGTTGAGGTATTGCTGCCACCACAGGCCAAGTTTGCACATGGAGCAGAGCTTGGCAAACACGGAAAGAAGTTATTCTGCAAATAATATTTCTTTTGTAACATAGGTAGACTCAAAGAAGTGTGTTGCAAATCACATATGTGGGAAACAGCGTGAAGCCTGCTAGGACAGCTGACCAGTCCCCCTCTGAAAAGGGCTGTGCTTGAGAGCTGCTTCATGCTGGGCCCTGCTTTTAATTTTCATCTCGATAAACTAAGGATTTTGTGAATTAAAATCTACCATGGTGCTTTGTGATACAAATCTCCCTCCTACTTCTTTTTAATCCGAAGACTGCTGCAAAACAAACCTATTTTTTCCTTCCCTCTCATCTTGTCAACCCCTTTATGGCTTTGAGGTGGGAAATATTTGGCAAGAACAGGCATGAGAAACTTTTGATTCAAGCCTTTGTTTATCTTTGCTATGTCACCTACTGAATTTTAGTGAGTATCTTATGGGATGTTGTGCATCATCAGATGAGACCCAGCCAGTGCCACGCCTGGCTCTGAGTAACTCCGTCATGCTGATGTGATCAGAGATAGCCTGCACAGAGAGCAAAACAACTCAGGCTATGAGAAAACACTTAAACATGTGATTTAGGGCAGAGAAAATGTGAGTGACTAACCCCTATGCAGTAGCCTGAAGAACACGATAGTGTGATGCTAGTATGTCTTCACATACCTCTGCCTGCTTAATCCAGCCAGGATGTTATTTCAAAATAGTCTAAAATTTTTAATTTTTTTCAGAAAGCTTTTTAAGAAAAATGAAAAGAAATTCTGTGATGAAAAAAAACAACCAGAAGGTGTACCCCAGTCTCCCAGTAATGGCTCTATATGCTGCAGTTTGGGTAGTTCTGCAGCCAGAGCCGTGTTTCTGTGAGGTGCTGCCAGAACTGAGACAACTGGAGACTGAGATGTGCTGGAGAGAGCCATAGATGATGAAACCAAGGAGTCCCCAATACCTCTGACATCCTTCAGCCTCCCAACAACCCAGCGATACTCATGCTGCGACGTGTCGGCATCTGATGCTGCTCTCCATGGCCTTCCTTCCACATTCAGTGCAGAGAGGCACTCCTGCAGTGATTCAGAGAACAACATTGCCCTCCAGAGTTGCAGATCTCCCTTCAGTAACTATAGCAGGAGCCCTACATTAGGGTACAGTTAGGTGTTATGAACACCCGTTGTGGGTTACATGCTGAGATCCTTATTGGCAACAGGCACCTTGCAGCTAGGGAGCTACTGGCACAAGCTGGCCAGCTGAGAGAAAAATGGGGCTAGACCATCACCCGTGGTGTTCTTCATGCCCCCCAAAGCTGTGTTACTTAAATAAATACTTGAAATCCTGAATGTCTTTAAAGATGGCACGATGGCATTGTTGTTAACCTGGATGAAGGCCCCGTTGTCCCAGTGGGACCTGTTCGTGTTCCGCGGTCTGCTGGGCTGTTTTACACTAGCAACAGTTTGTGGTTGAAATGATCAGGGCATCGTGTCATTCTTGAGAGCCAGGTGCTGCCAGGGCTGTCTGCTGGCACAGTTTGGGATCTGCTTCACTTGAGCGGTGTATGGCAGGTCCAGTGCCTTAAGGCACCCCTGAGGCAGGACTAGTGCCATTGCATCCTCTCCCAAGGCAGTGCCGTTAGCTCTTGCCAACTGCGCAACCCATAATTTCTAGTCTGCTATTTCAGCTTCGTGTTCTCACTTTCCTTGTGGGAGCTGTTTCAGAGCCCTAACGCGTAAAACGAAAGAAATAGGTTTTTTCCAAGAAGCACGTCTCGGAGAGGGAGCGTTACAAGGGGGTGGTTGCTGATGGTGTGCTGCAGCCGCCGGCTGCAAAAATCTCCTTGTGGTTCCTTGGCACTGCGCTCAGGCCACTGCCGCTGGCGACACAGAGCTTGCTTTGTTAAACGTCCTGCTCCTTGGTACTGCTCTAAATCGTAGCTGACAGTGGGGTTAACTAAACTGGACTGAAATAATAAGCCGGCGCTCAAAGGAAAGCTGGCAATGAAGCCTAATGAGATAAATGGAAACTGAGCTGAGCCTTAAAGCAAGTGTCTTATTCAAGTATTGCTTACGGATGAGGATTTCCCGGCAGATGCCAGGGTGGTGTCTGTGGGCAGGCTGTTACACAAGCACTTGTAGACACTGCTGTCCTTGGGAAAACTTTATTTCAGCCTGGCTGTGAGAGCTGCGCTGTGGGTTAGAGCTGGCAGGGTCTGTCTTCAGCCTGCAATAACTTTGGCTGCCCTGCAGCCCGAGCCCACCCACTCCCCTCTTCCTCGGAGGAGGTTTCCAGTGATCCATGCTATGGGTGAGAGTTATGGTTAAGGTCTGTTCCCTTTAGCTCCCTCTTGGCTTCTATAGGACAGCTGGCTTTTATTATGTGCAAGGAAGATGATGTATTCCATCATTTTAGGAAAATCCATCTCCAACTATGAAATCAGTCCTTAAAATACAGCATATGCCACTTGTGTCCTTCCTTTAATCAGTGGTTGTAGTGGAGAGGTACAGTAGGTCTCCTCAGCTGTTTTTTCCCAGAATAGTTTTCCCAGATGGGCCAGAAGTCCCTGGCTGTGTCTCCTCCCCTCCTTCATCTGCAGCTTTGCTAAAGGCTGCTGTCTGTGGAGCAGCTTGGCTGGCCCGTGGCAGCCAAAAGCGCTGCGGCAGCTCTGTCCTAATGTCATCTCTCCCATCGTGCGGGAGTGAGGAGAGATTGACTCATCCTGTAGTTTGAGATGTTGTCACAGGCCGGCAACTTCAGCAGCAGTCAGCAGACTTTCAGTGCCTGTTTATATAACAGAGGATAAATGAATATTTTGAGTTAGATACAGAGTTTCTCATGGAATTAAATTACCTGGATTTAGTGAGCGAAAGCGATTCTGCAAGGGTAGGTCATGCTGTTTGAGGGGGTTTAATGATCCTCTTTCTGGCTATAAGCATCCTGATGTCCCAAGAGCCGTCTTAATGCTGCAGAAGAAGAATCCAGATTTACTTTCTTAATTGCAAGGCTGGGCCAGGCTGCGAATCAGCTTGCCAGTTAGATTGATGCTGCTGCAGGTTAGGTTTGAAAACAAAAATATTGCACGTTATTTGCCCTTTGATCCATTCACTGAACTTGTGTATTGCTGTGTTGTACTTCTTTTTTCTTTTTTTTTCTATTCCTGGGCTACTCGAACTTTTCCAGATGTTCTTTTTTTCTACCTCTCATTGTGTTTATGAAATGTTTCCACTTGTTTTTGATCTTTTTATGCCTTTATTCACTTTTATTCCTGGCAAAATCCTGCTGTCCTTACTGAACAAGCTCTCTGTTGTTTCCTGGCCCTAGGTTACTGCCAGGGCAACGGCTTCCGTGTGGGATTCGGCCAGTGCTCAGGGAAAATCCTTCCAGCCCTGTCAAATCCATGATGACTGGAGCAAGGTGACATCTGAGGAGGAGGATCTCTACCCCCACCTCTAAGAGTCGTGCTGCTTTCTGCAGATTTATTATTTTTATATGAGTGATTGGAATCTTATTATTTTTAATTTCCAATAAATATCTTAAAGATGAATGTGGCTCTGTGGTGTGATAAGAAAAATATTTTAGTGCTAACTTAAAATTCTCTGAGTGATTGACATGGAAAGTGAGATTCTTAACTCTTCTACTATATTAATTTTTTTTCATAATTATAAAAAGAGGCTTTCAAGTAAACTTAAATATTCAGAGTACTAGGCTGATGATAACAGCAGAGATTGCATGCTGACTACTTTTTTTCACAGTGTTAATGTGCTTGAGGTAAAAACCCGAAGGCAGGTTGCATATGGATGCTAAAAACTTGAAGAGCATCTTGAGTGAAAGAGACTATGCCCTAAACTAATTTGTAGCAAAGCAATTTGCAAATGTGATAATCAATACAACTGAAAGCAACAGGAGAGCAGAACAAAAAAGTAAGAGGCAAACTAACAACCTTTTACAACAGTGAAACCAGAAACTGTACTGTACAGAACTGCACAACAGTACAACAGTATAACAAACACCTAATGATGGCCAAGAAAGCTCAGCACTAAACTCTTGTATCTTAGAAAGAAAATCCTGGCAGGTGTTGGGAGTTGAGCCCTTACACTGCGTCACTGATGGGCTCCTGCAAACCAACCCCAGCAGCCTCCAGTTGCCGCCCTCCCCGTGCCCAGGTTGCCCCGAATCCTCCCGCCCTTACACAAGCAGAGACAACTCTTCGTGGCCTAGAACAAAGATGGATGGGAGCCAGTGCTGGGGCACCCGTCAAAAGACAGCATGGAGATACTTCGTGCATCTTGCCCTGGGTTTAGAGAAGGGAATTCTCCATTTCTTTCCTCCTGTGCACCAGCTTTCCTGGAGTCAAGAAAGGAGGGTGAACTTCATGGTTGGAGTGATCCCCACTCATGGCATCCTCACTGATGGCAGTCACACGTTGCCACCTAACAGGGGCTGCTTTTAGAGGACACCGAGGAGATGGAGCCCTTCTCGCACTCCTAAAAGCCATCTCTTGTCATGGCACCCCCTTGCAGCAGGCAGTAAACAAAGCCACATGCCACTTTTCTCAAGTGTAAAGGGCATCTGCCGTCTCCCGTTGGTCTACAAATCAATTTAACTCTATGGCCAAGTGCCAAATCACATCAATTAAAGGGTATTACTGACTGAAGGAGCTCAGGAGACCGGATAATGAACTCTGGTACTGTTCATGGGGAACTTGTTAAATATTTGCTTGGTCCTCAAAGTGAAGAGCCTGATGAGGCTGCTGGCTTCGTGCAGTGACAGCAGGGTGAGAGCGTGGGCTGCTGCTTTCCTGGGGCTGCCCCCATTCCTCCTCCCCAGGTCTGCCAGGTAGTTTTTCTGGTGTGGGCCATCTGGGTATTTGGTGTTATCCTGGGATGCACTTGGTGCTGATTGGGAATGTGACCCTCTTGGCCATGCAGGAGAGAAAAATGAGTTTGAAGCGAAGATTAATGGAAAAATGTGGCACTGCAGATAAATCACTGCTAATGGGGCATGTTCACTTAAATGGGCTCTCTTCCAGTGTGCGATAATAATAGTCCTTTTAAAGAATGATGCTTGGAGGAACATCCCTGAATCAATTTAAATTTTTAGCCTAAGACATTCCACTATCACCAGGAGGGACAGCCTGGTCAGGAAAGCAGTGGTTCATTGTGGTTTATCAAGGAAAAGCTATTTCCCCTTTCAGGTTATTGTGGAAACTCAGAGCCGAACTAATAAGCAGGTATTTATTTAATGTACTCTGACTTGGTTTTTAATTTTTAGTATGCTTTGTGCTCTCTTTTGACCTCGAAGTACAACCACAAGTTGACACCTTCCCCCTTGGATTTAGAAATAACTCGTGAGGTCCCTCTGAGCACAGCCTGGCTTTACTCCTGGCAGCAGCAGGAAGGCACTGAAAGCATTTATCCAGTGGAGAAATTTCTCTGCAGAAGTAACATCCATGTTGCACCTTGTCGTATCTGATGTGTTGGGAGCGTAACGTCTGAGGAGAGGGTTGCACTGGCAGAGAGATGAGAGCTGTGGTCAAGACAGCATGTCATTAGTCATGGGTTTTGACCTTGGTAAGAGAGGTTTTGCAGCCAGGAAGGACTGTGGCATCAATGCTTTCTTGATGCAGAAATACTTAAAGAAACTGTTCAATCCATAGCGCTTTCCCTTAGCTTTGTGCAAGGTAAAGGTGAGACCTGTACATGGGCAAAGAGCCTCTCCCAAAGAGCCAATCTGATCCTGCAATTGCTGCCAACAAGTGGAAATTGGGCTCCTTGCTCGGACAGGCAGGAAGGTCAGTGGTGCTGAGAGCCCAGCTGCAAACCAAACCCTGGCACGATGGAGCCACCCAGCCACAAATTCCCCCACGCTGGCTCCTGACCCAGGCTGCCACCCACAGCCCCAGCCCTGAGGGAGGAAGGTGGCTGCATCTGTGGTGGCCACGCTTTCAATGCTGGGGATGGGTGGGAGGTGGTAAGGTCTACTCGGTGACCCCAAGGTGACAGAGCTGAGCTTCTTTAGCTTGGGGACGTCTGGAGAAGTCCCAGGTTGCCAGAAGGTGAATATTTTCTGGAAAGGAGCTCAAACACATCTCTGAGAACAGGTTTCAGAGGTGAGCTGGAGAAAGTCCAAAAACCTCAACCAGGACAGAGCTTGGAGACATCTGCTGCCCGCTGCCTGGATGGGGGCCAAAAAGCTAGGAGATGCTAAAAAAGGACAGGAGCTTTTAATGTCCAAGGCCACTGTCTTTTCACCCCCAGGAGAAAGTCCTGGGCTTCATGCAGGTGGGCACTGTGAAGAAAGGGGGCCCGTAACTGGGCTGGCACAGTGAGCCCAGAGCCACCACTGCTGATGGTCCTCCCTGGCAGGGTACCCTGTGTCAAGGGGCAAAGAAAGGGCATGTCTGCATTGCAGTGTGCAGTGCTCTCCTTAAAATAGCGTCAGTCTGGCTTAGGACTAGCAGCAGCACCCACTGCCTGGGGAGGCAGCAGCCTCCAATACAAGTTTTGGGAAATACCCAGGTGTTCTGGGCACCTCCCTCTTGCTCCACCTCCACTGGGGCAGCTGTGACCACTTCGCACCTGTGGCATTTAAATTGAAGGTCATGGGAGGGGAGCGTATTTCGTGGAGCTGAGCAGGGGGGGAAAGAGAAGGCTCTTAAGTCAGGAGGCTGCTTGTCGTTCAGCGTGTAGACCTAATGCTTAGAAAAGTTCGGGTTTTTTTGAAGTGCTATTTCAATTGGGTTGACCCTCTCTACAAAGACTTTCTGTTTCTGGAAGTTTTTGCTGCAATTGGGTTTGAGCTCTCTGCTTCTAGAGGTTACTAACTTAAATTTGATTTAAATCTGTTTTCCTTAGTTTGCTTGTAACCTGGCTTCCAGCAAAAACGAAAAAGGAAAAAAAAAATCAGATGCAGAGCACTTCTTCCTTTGCTCTGTCATAGCCCTAGGTTTATGACCTGTGTGTCAGAGAAGAAATTCCTCCTTGCATCTTCAGAACCCAGATTCATGCAGCATTGAGTGGGAAGGCAGATCCTGCTTTCTTGACTGGAGGAAATGAAAATGTGCATCTAAATGGAAACCATAGCTCTTATGTTTGCCTGGAGCATCCTTCTTGCTGGCCAAGTGTTTCACGCTCAGCGGAGATCAGCAGTTCCCAGTAGTGACCTGTGCTGGAGCACAGCAATCCTGGGGGTGAGTAATGCCTAGATGTTGCCTGAAAGGTCTTGGAGGGGTACGGGAGGTGCTTCTGTGTTGTACTGCCTTGTCACAGAGTGGTTGTAAATGCAGTGATTCATATTGCCTGGTAATATTTTGTCTGGTTTTGTTGTTTTGCTGGTGAGAGAACTAAGGGCAGCCTCTGTTTGATACTGTTTGAGATGCCTTTTCTTGTAGATCAAAGCATCATCTGGCTGGTGTGTAATGAAAAAGTTGGGTGTAATTTATAATAGTGCTGTTGGTATAATTAAGTGTCAAAAGAAAAGCATGGAATAACCCTAAAGCATATTTCAGAATTTAAAGGAAACAATAGATTTTCTGTGTGAAATGCTGGCATTCTTTGCCAAAAATAGTTTTCTGCAGAGATTCTAATTAGAAATAGATGCCATATTGTGGGAAAAAAACTACTAAAAAAATCAGTTTTCTTGAAAGTGTTTGGATCAGCAATAATTCCTTCATTAATCAGGCAGTAATAACTCAAAGTAAATGCTTTTTCAGTAGCTATTCAGGGTCAAGGTAGTGACTTTGTTAAGCTAGTAGGTGATACTCATGTTGGTTTTAGCTTTAAGCAGTAAGGCAGGAGGCCATTTCTCAGGCTTGATTGCTGCTTCTGTTCACGATGCCCACACAGTTTCTGCTTAGCGAGAAAGAAAAAAGATCATTTCTGGAATTTTAAAATTGATTGAAGGCTCTGGAGGTACGTGAGGGACGTGCTAAAGCATTGGCACCATGCTGCCCCTCACAAATCTGCTCTGAGCTGTTCCTCCTTCTCGTGTCCCTTCATTCCCAACAACGTCTTCACCTCAATGCTTCCTCTGTTGCATGTTTGGTTTTCTGTGGAAGTTTTAATTACAGACCTGTGCTTTTTAATTTTTACTGTTTGCTCCTTATTATCCAATTGGCAGCTGTAACAGAGCTGGCATAGACACAGTTCATGCGTAGGGGAAATGCTGCAGGAGCAGAAGTCCCTGGTGGCAGCTGAGTGCCTGGTGGGTCAGCTTGTAGGATCGGCAGCTTTGTCGATGGGTATTCAGGCATCCAGGGCAGATGTGCTTTGGGGCTCAGGATCAGCAGTTCTGCTGCCCTGCAGAGTGATGGGTGCCTTGGAGCCTGAATGGCCCAGGACCCTGCTCTAGGATTTGCCCTGGGGGCTGGGGGGTCGCCCAGCTCTGCTGCCTACTTGCCTCTACCAGGCACTTTGTTCGGAA